TTTAGTTTTCTGGATATATTCCATATTGTTTTCCACAGTGGCTGCACCACTCTGCATTTATAACAACAGTGCACTAGGGTTCCCTTTCTCCATGTCCTTGTCAGCAGTTGTTCATTTATTCATCTTTTTTAAATGTTAATGACCTTCTTGTTTTAATTGTTCAAGTACAGTTGTCTCCATCCCCCCTCCCCGACCCCAGCCATCCCCACCTCCCATCCTCGATCCTACCCACCCTTTGGCTTTGTCCATGTGTCCTTTATACATGTTCCTTGACAACCCTTCTCCCTAAGCCTCCCAATATCCCCTCCCACCTCCCCTCTGGTTACTATCATTCTTAATTTCAATGTCTCTGGTTATATTTTGCTTGCTTTTTTGTTTTGTTGGTTTGGTTCTACTTATAGGTGAGATCACATGGTATTTATTTGTCTTTCAATGCTCTCTAGATCCACCCATACTGTTGCAAAATATAGGAGCTCCTTCTTTCCTTCTGTTGCATAGTATTCCATCATGTAAATGTACCACCATTTTTGGATCCACTCATTTACTGATGAGCACTTAGGTTGCTTCCAGCATTTGGCTACTGTAAAATGTGCTGCTATGAACATTGGGGTATAATAGGTTCTTATGGATTGGTGTTTCAGGATACTTAGGGTATAGTCCCAACAATAGAATTGCTGGGTCAAAAGGCAGTTTCATTTTTAGTTTTCTGAGAAAATTCCTTACTGTTTCCCACTATAGCTGCACCAGTCTGCATTCTCATCAACAGTGCACTAGGGTTCCCTTTTTCCACAACCTCACCAGCACTTGTTTATTGATTTGTATATGATGGTCATTCTGACTGGTTTGAAGTGGTATCTCACTGTGGTTTTAATTGCATGTCTCTGATGGCTAGTGATGCTGAGCATCCTTTCATATGTCTCTGGGCCCTCTGTATGCCCTTCTTGGAGAAGTGTCTGTTCAGGTTCTTTGCCCATTTTTTAATTAGATTGTTGGTGTTACTGTCATTGAGTCATATGAGTTCATGATATATTTTGGAGATCGAACCCTTGTCTGAGGTATCACTGGCAAAATTGTTTTCCCATATAGTTGGTTCCCTTTTCATGTTGATGATGGTTTCATTAGTCGTGCAGAAGCTTTTTACTCTGATGCAGTCCCATTTGTTAATTATTTCATTTATCTTCCTTGCCCTAGGAGATATATCAGTGAGAATATTGCTGTGTGGGATATCTGAAATTTTCTTACCTATATTTTCCTCTAGGACTTTTATGGTGTTGTGCCTTATATTTAAGTCTTTTATCCATCTTGAGTTTATGCTGGTGTATTGCGTAAGTTGGTGTCTTAGTTTTATTTTTTGAATGTACCTGTACAGATCTCCCCATACCATTTATTGAAGAGGTGATTTTTACTCCGTTTTGTGCTCTTGTCCTTTTTGTTAAATATTAACTGGCTATAGAGACATGGGTTTATTTCTGGGCTCTCTGTTCTGTTTCCTTGATCTATGTATCTGTGCTTATGCCATTACCAGACTGTTTTGATTACAGGGGCCTTGTTATATAGTTTGATATCAGGCATTGTGATCCCTCATACTTTTTTCTTCTTTCTTAAGATTGCTGAGACTATTTGGGGCTGTTTTTTGTTCCATATAAATTTTTGAAATATTTGTTCTAGGTCTGGGAAATATGCTATGTTATTTTAATAGGGATTGTGTTGAATTTATAGATTGCTTTGGGTGGTATGAACATTTTAATGATGTTACTGCTTCCAATCCATGAAAAGGGTATATACTTCCATTTATTTGTATTTTCCTTAATTTCTTTCTTCGGTGTTCTATAATTTTCTGAGTACAGGTCTGTTACTTCCTTACTTAAGTTTATTCCTAGGTAGTTTGTTTTTCTTATAATAGTAAATGGGATTCCCCCCTAGTTTCTGATATTTCATTGTTGGTGTACAAAAATGCCTTAGGTTTCTGAATATTGACTTTGTAATCTGTTATTTTGCCAAATTCACTTATTAGGTCAAGTAGTTTTTTGGTGGAATCTATAGGGTCTTCTATGTACACTGTCATGTCATCTGCAAATAATGACAGTTTCACTTCCCCTTTCCAATTTGGGTTGATTTTATTTATTTTTTCTTGTCTGATCACTGTGGTTAGAACTTCCAATATTATGTTGAATAAAAGTGGTGAGAATGGACACTCTTCTTGTTCTTGATCTTAAGGGGAAAGCTTTTAGTTTTTGACCATTGAGTATGATGCTAGCCGTAGGTTTCTTGTATATGGCTTTTACTATGTTGAGGTATGCTCCCTCTATTCCCACTTTGCTAAGTGCTTTTTTTTCATCATAAATGGGTGCTATATTTTAGTAAATGCTTTTCCTGCATCTATTGATATGATCAGGTGATTTTTGTATATATCATTTTTTTATGTTGTGTATTGTATTTATTGATTGTGAATATTGTACCGTTCTTGCATCCCTGGGATGAATCCCACTTGGTCATAGTATATGATCTTTTTTTAATATATTGCTGGATCTGGATTGCTAATATTCTGCTGAAGATTTTAACACCTATGTTCATCAGTGATATGGGCCTATAGTTTTCTTTTTGTCATGTCTTTACCTGGTTTTGGAATTAAGATGATACTGGCTTCATAAAAAGAGTTTGGGAGTCTTCCCCCTTCTTAAAATCTTTGGAGTAGTTTGAGAAGTATAGGAGTTAGTTCTTCCTTAAATGTTTGGTAAAATTTGCTTGTGAAGCTGTCCTTTGCTGGACTTTTTTTTTGTGCCAGGAGTACTTTGATTACTGCTTTGATTTCACTCATTGTTAGTCATCTATTCAGGCTTTTTTATTCTTCTTGACTCAGTTTTGGAAACTTGTATGTTTCTAGAAATTTGTTCATTTTGCTCAGGTTGTCCAATGTCTTGGCATGTGTTTGTTCGTAGTAATTTCTTACAATCCTTTGTATTTCTATGTTATCAGTTGTAACTACTCTTTCATTTCTGATTTTATTTATTTGGGTCCTCTCTCTTTTTGTCTTGAGGAGACTGGTTAAAGGCTTGTCAATTTTGTTTATCTTTTCAAAGAACCAGCTCCTGGATTCATTGATCCTTTAAATTGTTATTTTAGTCTCTATGTCATTTAATTCTGCTCTGGTTTTGATTATTTCTTTTCTTCTACTTGCTCTGGGCTGTCTTTGTTGTTGTTTCTCTAGTTCTTATAGACGTAGGGTTAGGTTGTTTATTTGAGATTTTTCTATCTTTTTTAGGCAGGCCTGTATTGCTATGAACTTCCCTCTCAGGACTGCCTTGCTGTGTCCCATAGGTTTTGGGCTGTTTTGTGTTCATTTTCATTTGTTTCCAGAAACTTTTTGATTTCTTCTTTGATTTCATTGTTAACCATTCGTTATTTAATTTAGAATTTTTTGATAGAGGGTTACTGAGGAAGTCTTCTGATAGCTCTTTTAATCAGTTCATATGGCACTAGTGACAAAAGAATTTTGGAAAATTGAATCCTAATTTATTCTTATTTGGCTGTGAAAATCTCTGCAATTCATAAGTGCTATTCAGATTCTGCAAATCAGAAACACTATGACCAATAAGTCTAAAACCACTAGTAAATCTTTAACCACCTAAAAAACTTAACATGGAATATTTCCATTTCATAGGTGTACATTTGGTTGGTTCCATACTGATGGGGATGACTCAGCTATACTGAGATATGTTATTGAACCTATCTGTCTATATGTTTCATCCAGGGGCGCCACAGTGTAGTTTGTATTAATCTCTCTCATCCTCTCCCACTCTGAGTGAAGTGTAATGATCTAGATTAATTATTTTTAACTAGTGTGTCTCAAGAATGTTTAAAACATGCAATACCTGACTAGTTAGTTATTGGCACTGACATCTTTTCCCTTACATTGTCAAATGAAAAAATGACTATAGCTATCACAGCAATAACCATCTGGTGTGAATGAATGAAAATTATAACTATTTTTTTCAGAAGGATGAAAAAAATATTTTTGTGTGCTATGGAATCTTAGTGTGCCAAGACATGAAAAGTGGGGAAAATTGTTGGTCTAGGTCAGGGGTGTCAAACTCATTTTCACCAGGGGCCACATCAGCCTGGCAGTTGCCTTCAAAGGGCTGAATGTAATTTTAGGACTGGATAAATGTAACTATTCCTTAACAGTTAAGCCAGAGCTTGGCACTGCCGCTGGGTAGAAACAGGGTTCTGCGCTGGACAAAACAAGGTGGAGGGTGGGATTCAGCCTGTGGGCCTTGTGTTTGCCATCTGTGGTCTGGGTTATAAATTTAAACCAGATGAAATTCTACCTTTTAGGCTGAGAAACTGGAGTATCACCATTAATGATAACTTTTATCACTGTCATTTCTTACTCTCAGACATACTAAAATTAAATATTAAACACCATAATTACTAGCTCTGTATTAAAGTAGCTTGAGGATGATTTACATTCTTTGTTTTCACTGTATATTTTAGGTGATCAAAAATAATTTGCATATTGAAATTAAATTGGTAGCTCTTGTGGGAGAGAATAAATCATAAGGTGGTTGTGAAGAAATCAGAAAACTCCCTTCCATTGATGGGTGTCCACCCCCATGACTGCCGCGCCACTTGCTTCCAAAGAAGGCCCTAGAAGCTGGTGTCATCCTAGGGTGCTGGGGTCATATAGTTCCTGAAAGGGTCTGCCTTTCTTTCATCCCCCCAAAAGAAAAAGACAGTTTTCAAAATGTGTTTTAATACATGTATCTTCTATATCCAAGGTGACATAATGTTACATTTCAAAGACAAATCATCCATTTAATTATTCTTTTTCAGAAGTCAGCACTCGCTAGGAAGAATGCACTTGTTGAAATTTCAAGAAGGTTTTTAGTTAACTAAGAATTAATATCTTCTGATATTCTCTAGTGTGTCTCAATGTTTTCCAAAATATGACCAATGAAAAAAGCACCCCATTTAAGGTCATTTAGATTAAAAAATTCAGCTTACTGAATTCCTGTAAGAAAAGAAAACATATTATTAAATAAGGTAAAAAACATTGAATTTAAACATTTTTATTTGACATCAAAATTTCTTTTCTAGGAGCAAGAGTATCAATATCAAATTGTTCTTTTGTTGTCTCCAAAGACATTTGGTTTTAGACATCCACACTTGTTAAACTATTATCTTTGTTGTTAGTGCTAGAAGAGCTTATTTTTGCAGCATTTGTTAAGTTCCACCAGTGGAGAATGGTGCATGGGGTCACCTTGGTGCTAATTCCAGTGTGCTACCTGCAGCTGCTTGTTAACATTAAGTTAGGGAGGTTCTGAGGCTTAGTTGAGTAGGAAAGAGTATCGTGAGTCACTGCACCTACTGTGGGTCTGTGTGTGTTTGAGATGGGAAAAGGAGAGAGCAGTTTGTTTACGAATATTTTCAGTTCTGACCTAAAATGAAAAGTATGTTATACAAGCAATTAAATGTCTTCTTTCTGGGTTGAGCCAATAGGGCTGGTGACCCAGTAAATATATTCCCTCCCATTGCTGCAGCCCACTCTAAGTAAAGGGGCTCCCTGACTTTATTGAGATCTGTATTTCTCAAGATAAAGAAGTCTTCAGTCCCACCCAGCAGCTGACTTTGCTGACCTAGAGGTACTTTCCTAGCTGGGCAAACTTACCATTTGGGGACCCTGTGGTGGTTCCCTCAGGAACATGCACCCCCTTCTGGATGCCTGCAGGGGTGGTCACTTCAAAGTCGTCATCAGTGTCTGTGCCACCAGGGGTCAGGAAGGGGCTATTGGTTCCCTGGATGGAGGGATTTGTTCCTGCTTGTCCTGCAGGGAGGATTCTGTTCTGGACATCCGGATTAGCCTGGCTGCTGGGTAGGATAGCTCCGGGGAGCAAGGGCTGGAAGATGAAGCCTGTGAAGACGTGCGAGCCTAGTGGCTGGAGTGAGGAAAGGAAACAGAAAACAGAGTTTAAAGGAATACATTTCAAAGGCCAGTCAACCAGCCTTTCTTCTCTGAGGGGAGCAGGTTGGGTAGGAATGGCAGGATGGAGAAGGTAGAGTGAGAGTAGATAATAAAGATGGGGTATTCCTCATCTTTAGGAAATTCCTCCCTCCCTGAGCCGAGCCTGATGCTGGTTTCACAACTGGGGTGCCTTGCTGTGCTCTGTTTTCAGAAAGGGAAAGGGAAAGCCACCATCAAGCCAGTCGCAGGAAAAGGAAGAATGCATCCTTTGATCATATCAGGTGTAGTTACAGGTAGAACTCGCACAGAAAATTCCTACAATTACAACGCTATATCTCTGTTATTGACTTAAGTCATAGTCTTTTTTGCTTTTGCCCATAATTTTTAAAAAAGTAATGTAGGAGACTAAAAATTAATGGGCAAAATTATTTCAAGTAGATTACTCAATCCTTATCTCATGGTTTGCATCCCTTCATGGTTCTTTTGATGTGTTTTTCAAAGGCACTGGAATATTCAGTCAGAAATCTTTCTTTTAGCAATTTTAATGATTTGCACACTGGTATGAATGCTGTTACTGCCATATTTTTTCCTTTTTGAGAAAAAATTACTGTTAGAAATTCCCCCTAAGAAGAAATACTTTTGTACTGGCTGGTTTTGGAAAGAGTTCAGACAGAAACCAGTTCTCTGGGCCTTCCCAGTTCTGATGGAATAAAAGCGTCAAGAGCTCATAGTCAAAGGACAGGTCAGTTTCCTTGAACATTATTCTTAATTGTTAGTTTTCATTAAGAACTCCCTAAGGAACTTGTTAAAAAGGCAAGTTCCTAGGCTCCACTGTTAGAGAAGCTGTGATTGAGTAGGTCGAGGGCAGGACCCAGAAATCTGCATTTTAACCAGCATTCCAAGTTGTCCTGATTTGGTGGTCCAGGACTAAAGTTTGGGCAGAACTGTTAGTGAAGCCAGAATTAAACTTACGCTGGATGAGAGACAGGAGTAGAGTATAGAAGTTTTCCAACTGGGGGTCACGACATTCACAGGTTTGGAATAAAGCAGGTGGGTTGTGCATGTCATTACAAATCAGAAAAAAAGTGTAGACTCTATAGAATATATATTACATGTGTATCCTGTATAAGTGTAAATGTAGTTTTATGACATGTGTGTGTGAATTGCACAAAAAATGTAGCTGTTACTGTGGGTTTTACCAAAAAATGTTTGAAAAGCACTGGCATAGCAGACAGAAATATGACTTTGATCTTTTTAAAAAAATACATTAAAAATCCTCATCTGAGGATGTTTATTAATTTTTCTAGAGACAGAGTGAAAAAGAGACAGAGAAATATCAATGCAAGAGAGAAACACGGATCGAGCGCCTCCCACACGAGCCCTGACTGGGTTTGAACCAGCTACGTTTTGGTGTGTGGGCCGACGTCCAACCAGCTGACTCACTTGGCCGCAGTAGCTTTCAGTCTGTTTTTGATCTTGAGATTTAATTTGCTTAAACTCTCTGAGTCTCAGTTTCTTTATCTATCAAGTTGGGTTAAAAATTTCTACTTTATAATTTGGTGAGGATTAAAGGCAATGAAGGTAATAAACCTACTATGGTGCTTGTTGTATAGAAGTGGCTCAGAAACTGGTAGACACAGGTGTTCATGTGTCCATGCTGGCAAACAGCCCCATTATTTTACTGATGGACAGTCCAGCAAATCTCTACCTTTTCATAATAGAAAAATTAAATAAACACTGCCTTCCTAGATATTGCCTCAACTGTTAATATCGATGTCATATTTAGATATCACATCGATTATGGGAAATGCACAGAAGGGCCTAGGAATGATAATATGAATATTATTTGTGTTAAGCCCTTTAGTTATTTGCGTGTAGAGGGAGGGGACCGTTCATCATTCTACAACACTAGAAGATATATTTTCCTATGAAAATTAAAATTTTAAGTCAAATATATTATCCTTCCTGCAATAAATATCAATATATATTATTGTACTTCTGCATGCATTTCAATAATTTATAATCCTAGATTTTAATCAACATAAAGTAAAAAAATATGCGCTGGTTTTCTGGATAGAATCAAATCTGACACCAATATATGAGAAACAAAAGTTAAGTCAGGTTAGTGGAGATGTAGCTGGAGAGTGATGATAGAGGTCCCTTCTGGAATAATGCGAAGAGCTATAAAATTGTTCAATTTATTGAAGTAGATACCAACTTTGGGGTTTGTGGTCAAAGAAACTATGGATATGAGGACAGGAAACAGCATTGTGTTAGCACTGAAAAGAATTGTAAGTATTAGGAATTAAAATTATTTTTACCAATTCCTCTGAGCTTAGGATGGTTCCCTAAAAGAAAAATAATAGCATGAATTATTACACAGATAGTAATATATGCATGGCAAGATGTTCATAACATAACTTAAAACGTTAAAAAAGTTTTTAAAATTATACAAAGAGAATTTTAAAGTTTTTAAAAAGATTTTACTTATTTATTTTTAGAGGGGAAGGGAAGGAGAGAGAGAGAGAGAAATGTCAATGCATGGTTGCCTCTTGTGCATCCCCTGCTGGGAACTGGCCTGCAACCCAGGCATGTGCCCTGACTGGGAATCAAACTGCAATCCTTTGGTTTGCAGGCCCATGCTCAATCCACTGAACTACACCAGCCAGGGGAGATTTTTAAGTTTTTAACAAAATTTTAAAACTATTTTGTGACTTGCATCACAAAACTTGTCAGCACATGATGTTGGACTGCTAGCATTATCTGATCTGAGATCTTCTATATTTTAAAATTTATGTATTGCCTGTTATTAGGTAATAGATGTACATTGTAATAAATTTGAAAAAGGCAAAAAGCAATAACAAATATCTAATCCTGTCAAGCAGAGTTTGATGTATTTCTTTCCAAATGTTTTTCACACATTTATTTTTTACATAATAGAAGTCATGTCATTTATACAATTTGTGTCTTATCATTCAATACTATACAACAATCATTTAACCATATAACTGACATACTTTAATAGACTTTTGAATGATCAGAAAGTATTTGCTTTTTTGTTGCAGTTTACTTATGTTCTTTTCTGTAAAATTTAAATTGAACCCAATATTCTTCTGTAGCACAAATATTATTTTGATTAATACATTTCTAAGTAAACCTTTACTGTATTTCAGATTATTTCCTTGCGTTGTATTCCCAGATGTGGAATTAAGAGTTGATAAGAATTTTATATTTGGTTCTGCTTTTACAAGTAAAAGCCGCCACCTGATACTCATATTTAATTTTGACTCTTGGTAATTTTACCAGTGATCTCAAGAATCATCTTTGACAAAAGAAAATGAGGAGAGAGATAAGGAAGTGTTTGTATTACTTTTAGGAAAAAGATATGTATTTAACAAATAAGTTTGAAATTAATAAATAAATCCCCAAGTCATTACTTATTAGATCAATCCCATTATTTTTCTTGACAATGTGGTTTGAAGGGCTGACTGATTGCCTCATGTGTGACATTTACTGTGTGATTATAACAGAATTACCGAATCTCCACTTGCTCATTTTCAAGTTGGAAATAAAAATATTGTCTGTAAAAGGTTGCTTCGAAGATTAAATGAGGTAGTACATAATAAATAATAAAATACTTATAATAGTGCTTGGCACATAGCAAGGACTCAGTAAGTGTTCCCATTATTATCAGTGTCCATACAATGCCAAGGAAGTAGGAAACTTGGCAACTATCTGGTGAATTGAAGCAAGATTAAATATTTCACATTAAGATGTTTAAAACAAAAATCATCATACAAATAATCTTACCTGGGCTCCAAGTTGCGCTACAATAAGTGGTAACATCTGAAAAAAATGGAAAAGTTCAGGAAAAATATGTTCAATGTTCTGATGGATGGTGTAAATATCAAGATTTGCTTAAAAACATAATATTTGTTAAACACCTGTTTGTTACTAATGTATCATTCATAATCATAGATACAGAGTCATAGACCTGGATAGGAATCAGCACTCATCCAATCTGTAAAAAGATTAGATGCAGAGAGATTTGGAAACCAGCACAAGGCAGCACAATCGAGAAGGTAGAAGTTAGTAAATTGGATGATCCAAAAATAATTTTGGTCTTAAGCTACCTCCAAACTGAATATTATTCCAAGAAATAATAATGTAAAGTGTGATAAAGATGCATGTTTATTTTATGTTACTTCAGAAGATACATTAAAAAGCAGTAAATCTTTTAAAATACAGAAGTTTGAAAGTGAGCCACAGAATGGTTAAGTAACTTGGCCAACATTACACATATAATAAGGGGAGAGCTGAGATTTGACCAGCTGTGTGATTAGAATTCACTCAACCATGCCGGCCTTGCTTTAATAAATGAGAGGTTTGGACAGGTGGCCAAGTTCCTGGTAGAGGACCCTGGAAAGGCAGGGTCAGAAGGACTGGAGCTACAGAGAAGGTCAGGCATGGAGACCTTTGGCGATGGAATAGCCTAGAGGCATTGAGGAAACTCCACTGAGAATGGGGATTGATTTATGTTATCGCCTGTTGCAGGGTGTGCAATGTTAAACCCTCTCTTCTACTGACCTTTAATAACATCTACAGTGACCACTAATGCATATGACTGGAGTGGATATTCTTTGGTGAATATGAAGATGTACTAAGTCTGACTTCAAGGTTAGAGCAGGGCAGTAATTGAACTGAAGTTGGGCAGTTGGCGTAATAATTATACCAAGATCACATGTTAAAGGAATTCTCATTTTATTAGCCTCTCTTGAGTCCATTTCAGAGGATCACTTTTATTATTGGGGTATAAATAAGCAGCAAATATGTTGAGTGAAGGATTTAATATATCTGTAAGTAATAAATATAAGTATACATCTCAATATTTTTAAAAAAGTATAAAAATTCATTACATGACAGAATTTCACAAATATAAATTAATGAAGCAGTATAGAGTGTCTTGTGTTGTTATTTTGGACAAAGGTATGAACAAAGTATTAGTTGCATATAATGTGAAATTTAAATTGAGCAGCTTAAAATTATTTTGTCAGTTAAAGTCAGTTTTGAATGTAATTACTAATGAACACAAGCCTACTCTTACTGAAACCTGGAGGTGTCCACAGTGGGAAGAGGGTGGTTAGGATGCATCGGTCCACTGCTACATTCGTGCTTCTTAGTCTGGGAATGTGTTTTCAAAGTCTTATATTTTTGTATGTCTTTGGACCTACAAATTATTTTCCTAAGAACTGGTCCTAAGGAAGTAATCATTGACATGGGCAAAAACTTAGTTACTAGGATGTTTACTGTAGCATAATTTGTAGAAGCAAATTTTGACCGCCCCCCTCAATTTTGCAATATAATGGAATACTAAACAAATGGAATCACTGAAAACAATGTTGTAAGTGAATATTTCAAAACAAAGACTAATCGACATTTATAAAGGGAAAATATTGTGGAATATTATTGGAATATTGTGGAATAGATATTGGAAGAACATATTTTATTAAAATATGTGCTTAACATATCACAGAAAAAAAGATAGGGAGGACATATCCTAGAATGCTAATGGTGTTTAATCCTGGCTATTATGATTATATTGCCCCCTAATGTTAAACTGAATTCTGTGGGTGTTTTTTTTTTGCTCACCTGTATTTTTAGAGTTACCTATATTACCATATATAATATATGTAATAAACAATAAAACTTCTACAAAAAATTTATTCCATTATGTGAAGCCAAGATAACTTGTTATGGAGAATAAATTATCCATATTGACTTAGTCCAATCATGAAGGGATCTTTATATTGCTCTCAAGAACCTAATAATCTACTTAAGGAAGTTTCAAGAAAAGGTAAAAATTAGGGCTTTGTCCATAATTAAAATTCAAACACTCCCCTAAGTGTTTGATGCCCTAAGCATATCCTTTGTATCTTACTGTGAGAGGGTTTTCTAGGGTTTTTTCCTGAAAAATGATGGTGGAAAATAGGAAAGATCTAGAAAGTACTTGGTGACTTTCAAAGGGACCCGATAAATGAGTCCAAAAGAGAAAGATTTGCTGGATTTAAATTTTATTCACCTCTTAACTTTAATTTGGGATGATTCTGGCCGCCCAGAAAGCCTTCAACAGAAAACACAACTCGCTGTTTGACTGGGGTGGTGAACGCCCCACACAGTGTACAGACAATGTGTTATAGGGTTTTGCACCTGAAGCCTGTAGAGTTTATTGATGTGTGTCACCCCAATGAATTCAATATAATGGAAAAAATGATACAAAAAAGAAAACACACCATACTAGAGAAGAACCCTGCTACTTCTCAGTTTCCCCCCTTATACTTTTGAGCCTTCAGCCTTCCCCAGCTCTTCACATTTTTCTACTACCCATGGCAAATGTAGCCTGGAGAGGTTATGGGGCAGCACACTCAGTTTTCTGGGTGTGTTCTCATAGATTTTCAACCAAATTGTCAAAGACTGATCCATGTTCTGTAGGGCATTGCTTTGCGAATTATCTGGGTAGAATGTTTACAAACCTTGAAGAAGTTCTTTCCTCCCCTTTAGACTTCCATCTGAGAGAAAATGCTCCCCAATGGTAAAGTGAGGTCCCCTTGTTGAACTTACTTGTGGCTGCAGCTGCTGCTGGACGTTTAACGCCCCCAGGGCCAGTGGGAGGGTCTGGGCAGCAGGTGCCACCCCTGCGGGGGGATTTAGCTGTAAGGCAAAGATTTTCATTGTGTTGTTTCAGTTTGAACATTCAGGAAGCTATCGTGTATTTGTTGAATGTAAAACATGTTTCAGTAAAAATTTTGCTATGCAAATGTGAAATATACTATATTTCATTTGGAATAAGTTACAGAGATAAGAGTTCACAGACTACCAGCACAACCATATGTTCTAACTTTTTTCCATGTTAAATTTTTCTTTGGCATTTAACTCATTCTTTTTGAGGACTACTTAGGATTTCATCCTGGCTTATTGCTTTTGGCCATAACAGCAACAACTCTTGGAGTTTTTCTGATGGTTTTCTTATGAAGAAAGGATTCTTCATAGGAACAAAGTATCTATTTTGCATATAATCTATTAGTAATGCATTGTATACATCTGATCACTGGATCCAGATTTAAGCAGGAAATCCACTTTAGTCAGGAAAGGAACTTAAATTATATATACAGTTTAAATGACTGTACCAACATTCCATAAAAAATGAAAATCTTTCCGTCCCTTCTGGCCCGCTCTCGTTGTGGTGGAGATGGTGGTTGTGTGGTGTGGTGGGTGTGTAGCTGTTGTGGGGCAGAGAGGAAGGTCTGGTTAAGAAATGGGGAGAGGAACTTGGATAAGAGGTGAGAAAACTAAAAAGTAAAGATTTAAGAATTATAATTCTTTTAGAGGTTATTTTGCTCAGAAAAAATTCAAGATGTGTTGAATAGCATCTAGTTCTCTGACTTCCCTGTCGTCTCTTTTTCAACTGATTTACCATGAATATGTGTGTATGTGTACATTTGTAGATACACACTCACACACACACTCAGTGTTAGGTATTATATATACTCAACAATGGATATTAAAATGATATAAAAGTACTTACCAGCTGCAGATCTGACCCCAGTGTGAGCATCTGTGTCAATGGTATTAGACTTAAAGGATGGAAGACCTGCAGGGCATTGAAATTGATGAGATAAGAGGTGGTCTGTTTTTACTAACGTGTCAGTTGTGTAAATCCTCAAGTAACTTGTACTCCCATCGGAGGTGGATTTGCCATGAAGGTAAATGAAGGCGAAGCTTCAGGGCCTCTCCCTGGTATTGCCTCCTTCTTTGGTCTTAGAGGCACCCTAGCAGTCTATCCAGTTTACGGTATTTGTCAGCTTAAAAATGTGTATTTCTTATTTCTCATCTCCTTGTGAATTATCCACTTTAGTACTTAATTTTACATATCTAATTTTGTATTCTTTTTCTTAAAGAGTATCCCTGAATTACATAAGCTTCAGTTTCCCTAAAGAGAGAGATAGGTTTATGACTTGAGTATTCTATAATATCCATAGATTTAAAAAAGAACTTTAGACTCTGTTATCTGATTGTTTCACAAAGTCTAGATGAAGTGAGGTGGGACTTTTAGAACAGAGAGGATGGGTTGGAGTCTGAAGAAGGGTAGTAGTTAAGAGACAAAGTAGTTTTCAAAAGCATTTAAATATGCTTTGAAGAAATAGACACTACAGTGACACATTAGCTCACTACTAGCAATGGAACTTGAAGAAATCTGCAGTTTTTTTTTTTAAGAATTGTTTTTTAAAGATTTTACTTATTTATCTCTAGAGGGGAAGGAAAGGAGAGAAGGAGAGAAATATCAATGTATGGTTGCCTCTCGTGGGTCCCTGCTGGGAACTGACCTGCAACCCAGGCATGTGCCCTGACTGGGAATCGAACTCTGATCCTTTGGTTCACAGGCTCACACTCACTCCACTGAGCTACACCAGCCAGGGCTGCAGTTATTTTTATATATTACCTCTTAATCCTTGTTAGTTCTGGCAAATACCACAGTGACATGTCACAGTATCACAAGGGCATAGAAACCCAAACTTTATCTACGGGTGTACCTGTTGCTTTTCAAAGTTTACTGGATTTGGTGGCTAAGACAAGTTATTATTCAGACAATGAGGATGCTTTGTTTTCCTGGCTCAACTTTTAAAAAAAAGTGTGTGGTTTCTGTTTTGCTTTTTTCCCAAAAGGAAAGCCTCTCTCATTCAGTCATGTGACACTGTGCAAGTCTTGCTTTTAAATCCACGTGTCCTTCGCTGGTCTGCAAATGTTCTTCTTGGAGGACTCTTACCTGATTTGGTTGCTGTTGGTTCAGTAGGGTTGTCTGATCTGGAACCAGCTGAGCTGGGGGAAGTCCCAAAGCAGGGGCGAGCTGCATCTGTGATGACAAATATTTGAAGAGTCAGGGATGTGTTTGAAGTTTTGTATCCATATATTCCCAGGATGTAACAATTTGTCCCAAGTACAGATATGTCTGCCTTTAGGCTCTCTGTGTTTGGAGTTTTAATTTCCTGGAACATTTTATGCATAACAGGAGATGGAACTGTAGAGTGGGAAAATGTCAGCCTAGGCGGTGAGTGGTGCGGGGAGGGAGGCAGAGAGGGAGAGGGCACATGGACTTCTAGCTTCCCATTTCTTTTCTGTGACTGCCTTCTTCTTTTTTCGGGGCATGAAAGACAGTCTGCACTTAGCTCTTTACACATGTGCTTTTCTGCCGTGCTTGAAGGTACACTGCCACGATTCCTAGTGTGTTTTCACAATGCATTCTGCTTTTGACCTGTGCCTGACAAGGCACTTTCTGTAATGGAAGTGAAGTTCCTTTTCTGGCCAGAGTATTTTCCTAGTATATTAAGAACCACTGAATTTAAGGGGTAAAAATGTGCATGTGATTTCTATGCTATATTTGTATGCTTTTGTTTAACGTAAGGAAACTGAGGCTCAGACGAGCAGAGTGACCTGCCCAAGGTGACAGGGTGAGTGGCAGAGCCAGTACTAGGACCCTGCAAGTGCTCTTGGTCCTTGAAGAAAGGAGTCCTTCTCTTGGCTTCTCTCAGCCCTCCCTCTGCATTCAGGTGGAACTCCCTGGCCAGGTTGACCCCAGTTAGCCTTTGCTTCTGGCTGCACTTCAGAAGGCGGTGGGGTGGAGTGTGGCCTTTCAGAATGTGTCCTTGGGCCACTTGGATATACCCTGGAGCTGCCACTAATTCCTGGTTTCACTTTGGAATTTCCCCCTCAGTTATAAGAGGTAAGACAGGCATTAACCATTCTTAGGGGTTCCTATAAGCTTTAAGACATGTAAGTATACATTCTGCAAATTTCTTTTCATCCCTTATAATCTATTGTCAACATGGTAGCCAGAGCAGTCCTTTGAGAACAGCAGTCTGCTCCTTTCACTTCTCTGCTCAACCCCTGTGTTGACTTCTATTCTCACTCAGAGTAAAAGCCAGCGACCCTACAGTGGCCGATGAGGCCCTCGTGCCTGGGCCCCAGTGCTGTCTCTGTGACAGCGAAGGCTCAGCCCTGCCTCAGAGCCTCACTGTGCCTCTTCCCTCTGTCTCGGAAGCTCTTTCCTCACTCATTGACTCACTCCCTCACTTGCTTCAAGTCTTTGCTTGAGTTCATTTCTTACTGAGGCTCACTGTCCTGAATATGCAACCAGCCCCATCTCCAATTCCTAAACAGACCTACTGAAAACATGTGTTGAGCTATTTTAAATGTCCACATTTGCAAATTGATTCATTTTGATGCCTTTATGATAATTCAACAAATTAACTTACAGATCATAAAAAGTCACATCTATGTGTCCTGATTTTTTGGCTGATAAATACCACTACTATATCTAATAGATATCTCAGTGCCGCCCGCCGCCCCACCCCCACACCCGGGCATCACGTCTCTCTAGCCGCTCTCGTGTTATTGGTTATTAGCAGTCGACACTGACCTGCATGTTCTCCTCAGTCTGCATTGAATGGAAGCTGTGTTCCTGGAAATTTTATTTCTCTTCAGTTTTTACGAAGTGTATAGTAACTTAAATACATGAAAGATACTGTTTAGGAGAACCTTTTGGTAAATTTATTTGAAGTGAAAAATTAATATTTTACCAAAAAATTAACTTCCTAATTTACCTTGTTTAGAAATTGAATTTGTGGATCACTTCCGCCAAGATGGAGGCGTAGGTGGAAGCACTGCCCCTTCTCACACAACCAAGTTTAAAAACAACAAAGTTTTAGCAACAAAAACATAGTCAAACCACAGAAAATTGAACTATATGGAAGTCTGACAACAACGAACTCTTTGGCCAAACCAGTAAGAGGGGCAGAGCCAGCAGCAGAGTGAGGTTGGGCAGAAAAGATCCACCAGACCAACCCAGGTGCACGACCCAAGTGTGCCAGCAGCCATGGGGAGATCCCAGGTGTGGAGAAGTGGGCAGACCCACTGAGGGCACAAGGCGGTGGACCCACTGAGGGCTGACCACGGTCACACATTCTCACGCAGATAAACTGGTGAAGGAGCGAGCAGTGAGACGGACCTCACAGGCCCCAGTGGTGGGAAGTGGCAGAGGGGACAGCTATTGTCCCTCTCTGACCCCACCCCCACATACAGCCTCACAAACCAGTGACCTGGGTGGCCCTGCCCTTGTGAACACTTAAGGCTCCACTCCTCATACCTAACAGGCACAAACAGATCAAAACATGGCTCAAGGACAACTCAGAGCCCCAGAGCCCATAACTCTAAGCGACCAAGAAATAGCCAAACTTTTAGATGCACAGTTCAAAACACTGGTGATCAGGATGCTCACAGAACTGGTTGATTTTAGTCACAAATTAGAGGAACATATGAAGGCTAAACTAATTGAAATGAAGGAAAATGCACAGGAAACCAATAATAATGGAAAGGAAACTGGGACTCAAATCAAAGGAGTGGACCAGAAAGAGGAAAAAAATGACCAAACAGAAAAGGATGAAGAAACAAGAATTCAAAAAAAACGAGGAGAGGCTTAGGAACCTTCAGGACATCTTTAAACATTCCAACATGCAAATTATAGGGGTACCAGAAGGGGAAGAGGAACAGCCACCAGTGGAAAACTTATTTGAACAAACAATAAAGAAGAACTTCCCCAATCTGGCAAAGGAAAGAGACTTCCAGGAAATCCAGGAAGCTCAGAGAGTCCCAAAGAAGTTGGACCCAAGAAGAAACACACCAAGGCACATCATCATTATATTAGGCAAGAGTAAAATGAAGGAGAGAATCCTGGAAGCAGCAAGAGGTAAAGGGACAGTCACCTACAAAGGAGTTCCCATCAGACTGTCAGCTGATTTCTCAAAAGAGACCTTACAGGCAAGAAGGGGCTGGAAAGAGGTATTCCAAGTCATGAAATCCAAAGACCTACAACCAAGATTGCTCTATCTAGCAAAGTTTTCATTTAGAATGGAAGGACAGATAAAGTGCTTCTCAGATAAGATCAAATTCAAGGAGTTCATCATCACCAAGCCCTTATTATATGAAATGTTAAAGGGACTTACCTAAGAAAAAGAAGATAAAAAAGATGAACAGTGAAAGGACAGCAAACTCACAGTTATTAACAACCACACCTAAAACAAAAGCAAACTAAGAGGACAGCTAGATCAGGAGCAGAACCATAGAAATGAAGATCACATGGAGGCTTAGCAACAGGGGAGTGGGAGAATGGAGAAAGGGGGAGAAGGTACAGAAAATAAGTAGCATAGACAGTAGATAGAAAATAGATAGGAGGGGAGCAAGAATAGTATGGGAAATATAGAATCTAAAGAACTTGAGACACGTGGTCATAAACTAAAGGGGCTAATGGTGGGGGAGGAGGTATGCAGGGTGGAGGGGAATGAAGGGGGGAAATAGAACAACTGTAATGGAATAATCAATAAAATATATTTTAAAAAAAGAAATTGAATTTGTACAAGATAACTTCTTTCAAGAACACATGTATTGTTTGGAACAAAATACAAAGGAGGTTTATTCATATCTGTTCTATTCTCTTTCTACAAGATCACCCTCTTCATCTCCTGACTAATCATAGTGATAATAGATCATTTAACAGTTCTTTTAGAAATCATTTATTACTTACTAGTACTGTGCTAGTGAACACCGTGGAGGACCATGCCCTTTTCCCCCCTCATCACTGTATTTTCAACTACTGGCACAGTGTCTGGTTTATAGAAGGTTTCCAGTAAACATTTGTTCATGGTACGGATGACTAGGAAAGTGTCAAGTGGGCTCAAAGCTCACCTAAAATGTCTTCTTGGTGCTCTGCTATTTCATAGCAGATGTATACTAATTAGTTTCTTATTGCCCACACTTAAGCATATGAAATAGTCAAAGGGAAGCCTACGTAGAGGCCCAGCCTATCTCCAGGTCTATAAAATATTGGAGGACATTGGAGTATATATTCAAATGCAACTGCTCAATTCTTTCAAAAACCTGTCCCATGTAAACATGTTTTGTGATGAAATATTCTAAGTCGAAAGTTACAAAAAAGTCTGTAATACTTCCTTACAATTGCATGATCTGATAGTCTTTTTAGAGTTTAGATAATCTAGCTGTTTTGTGCTTCCAATGAGAAAAATCAGAAAATATAGTTTATTTCTTTAGTTATGAGAAAATAATTAGTTGCCCCAAAACCTTAAATTCTTTTTGGGAAGTAAAATTGTATTACCCTCAAGTAGCTATAATCCAAGGTATTCTTTTTTTCTCCTTATTTCTACGTATGGCTCTGCCCAGATAGTAGAAGTTCTATCACAATATAGTGGATGCATTTAAAAAATGTAAGTACATTAAAATATGCACTAATACATTGTTAGTCTATTATCTGTCACCTTGGAAAATTAAAATTGAAAACTACCAGAATGAGTCACAGAACACAGCAGTTTTAGCAGAGGGCAGGAAGAGTGATAGTTCTGCAATTAAGATGCTGCTAAGGCTGGTTGGCACATAAAATAAACATACTGCACTTACTGGTAATGCCTGAGTTGATCCCAGAAGAAAAAACAATAAAATCATAGTCTTCATGATTCAAATTGCTACCTATAACAACAAAATAGTGTTACTTTTTCATCCATTTTTTCCTTTTGAGGGAAGATGATACTTAAAAAAAGAATGTTTTATTTGAAACATGATCAGTTAATGTTACCTTTCTCTCCACTAGGCAAAGGGCACAGGTGAAGCAGCCTCGGCAAGTCCAGCTGATTTCTCCAGTTCTTTCGGAGAAAATTTTACCCTTTGATGGGTTGTGAGTTTGTAGAAGGAATTTAAACTGAACACCAGGAGGTTGGCAACTGAAAGACCAATCAGGCAGGACTCAGCTGTTGAAATCATTTGGTTTCTTTAATTTCCCAACACTTCATTATGTGAGTTATTAGCTGCAGACATCATATTACCCAATGTCTACCATTTGAATAGAGGGTATTTCGGAAAGACATGTCTTGTGTAATTAAAAAGTATACAGACAATTAAAAACATTAAAATTCTTGTTTATCTTCATTTCCTTCCCAAATGACTCTCCAGAGGTACCTGTTTTATCATGTATATATGGACATATAAATCAAGCATCAAAATATAATTATATGTTAAAAAATGAGGTCTATTATGCACAGTGCTGTTCAAGTTACTTGGTTTACTTGACAAATCATGAATGACTTTATGTGTCTGTGCATATTGATTTATTTAACTCATTTAATGGTTACATTGTATTATATTACATTTCATTTTGGTGGATATTTAATCTATTTCCATTTATTTTATAAATAAAGAGGTGGTACAATGAATATTCTTATACTTTTTTTCACACATGTGGGAGTACTTCTGTAGGTTTTATTTCTAGAAGTACTGTATTGAAGAATATATATGTTTTAAAATTCAATAAACATGAGAGGAAATACACTGGTTAACAAGTAATTATATGCTTGATAAGTCACAATACTAAGAGAATACACAAGCATAAAGGGGAGTGTGGTTAACTTTGTTGGGGCCAGAAGGGTAGAGAAGGCTTATAGAAGAGTTGACACTTGAACTGGATTTTGAAGAATAAAATAATTCACTTAGAATTCAAGGAGAGCATCCAGGCAGACTAAGTATCTAGATGAGTGATTTTTTTTGTTCACTACTGAAACAAAATGGGGTGGGGGTAGCAGTGGAAGGTGGGGTTAGAGTGACATCTAATTTTAATCATCTTTAGTATTTTTGTTTGTTTCTATTGCTCATTTTGACTCTTCATCAGGTATTATTTTATATGACTCCTCCATTATTTTCCTGTGATATGTTTGCCTTGAGCTATATGGGGAGTTCCTGGGGTCTTGTCTTATACTTCTTCCATGTCTTCTATGTTGCAAACATTAGGAACATTATTATAGGAACATTCCATATCTTCTATGTTGCAACATTAACATTGCAGACCACCAGATGGTCTCTGCACACTGATGAATATGTTCTAGGGGTATACACTGCAGGGAGTTGAGGTGAAGAAAGACTTCAGAGAAGAGATGGAGCTTTAAGTGGATGTGGAGACTAAATGTGATTGACAGCACAAAAAACAGCATGGTAAAGGGGAGAATATTGAGGGGAGCAATGGAACATAGTGCTGAAGAATGTGGAAAGGAAGCAACTGGCTTTCATAGACATAATGATTCCTTCTTTTATTCAGTCAATTCATTCTTCCCACCCATCATTTAGCATTTACTCACTCTGTGTACTGTTAGCATTGTTTTGGTTCCTGGGAGTAAAATGATGAATGAAAAAGACAAAGATCCCTGCCCTCTTGGAACTTACATTATGGTAGGGAGAACATGAAATACTCAAGCCTCACTGTGTGGAAGGGAGCCTATGACTCCGGGAAGCCCACTTTCCTCTGGGCATTATTTTCAACCAAAGTGTAGGAGGAGGGGCTTGACTAATTTGTTTTTCTTTTTGGTTGATATAGAATTGAATTTCAGGCCATTGTTTCTGGGTGAGGAGACGTGTTCTATTGACAGCCTAGAGTACCGTGCCAGAGAATAGCTCATGTGAACTGAATCACTGTTTGTGACTGTTTGGGCTTCAGGTGACTCAGGGACAGATGGTGCATGGTTGCCTGTTGCAGACATGCTTTCAACCCCAAGCTGGAATGGACACGCCCTATCTTGGAAACTGACCAGGCAGTGCAGTATGACCAAAATAAACAAGGGAAATTAAGAAGACTGAGTAATTTCTTAGACAAGAAATTTTAAGTCTGAAAGCAGATAGCTTGTAATATAATTATGGAGTTGTGTCTAGAAGTAGGTACTATATACGGGAAAAATTCCTAAATTATTCTGTAACTAAGAGACATCAGCAAAAACAGTGAAGTGATTTATTTTTCTGAAATGACTTAGGATATCAGGGTTCATTAAAGAGTTATATGTACTATAGGTGACATCGCTTAGCCCTGCAGGTCTAGACATTTCTTGATCTTTCACATTGGTTTTAGTTTTAAGTTTCTTTTGGTTATGCACCCTTTTGAGAATCTGGTTGAGTCTATACATCATCTCCTCAGGAAAACACACATATGTCCATATATATAATGTATATTAGACAACTTCAGGGGTTTCACAGATTGTAGTAACATAAAACTCCAAATCAATGTTAAGAGTACACACTCATAGATTAAAAACTAAGCTTGGATGTAGGTGAAATTGGGAAAGAATGTCTTGCAAATGGCAACAAATGAGGATGCTAAGGAGAGAGATAAGAGATGCAGTACTAGTGAAAAGAATAAATGATTATAGTGTATGGATGATGGGTGATGGTTTAGATAAGGCTCTGGGATGCTGTTGGGAATATATGTAGTCTCAGTGTTAATGCAGTACCCACACTGCCAATTGGGTAAATACTTTTAGTTTTGTAGAGGTTATCAGGAAAATTTGTTGTTTCAAAGTCCCATGAAAGGTCAATATATGGTTTGGTGGTGCCGTAAGGAGAGTCTGTGTTTCGAAGTTAAATGCAGTCAGTGTAAGGTTGGGTGCCATTATGGGGAGAGGCTTTTGTTTCAAAGTAGTTGACATAGGTGCCAGCTTCAGGGCCGTTGTCATGTGGAGTGGTGTGTTTTACGGTTATAGCAGGTGTCAGTGTGTGAATTACAGCTGGAGCTGCAGATGTGGAGGTGGTGGTAGAAGACACTTTAGAAGTAGTGGTAACAGGGGCTGTGAAAGTTATAGTGGTGGTTTGTGTTTGAGGGTAAGAGTTTAAAAATGAAAATATCCAAATGTGGGATTGCATAGAGGGGCATGGAAGGAAAAATTAATTTTCATTATGTTTTTCCCAAATCTTGTTGATAAGTAGCTTTGAACAAAATTAGTGTGATCAGGTATTTTTGAGGTGGCTTTGGACAAGATATTGGACAAGATTGAGGTATAGGAACATTTTATCGGTAGCAACTTTTAGAAAATATTTTGATAGATGAGATTTTGATTGACCATATGATTTTCTATGAATTGTTTGAGAGCAAGTTCCTGATTGAATAGCTATTTTAAGAGGAGCTTTGGATGGAACAATTCTTGGCTTAATAGCTGCTGTTGGGTGATTATATGGAAAGGCAACACCAGATGAAACAAGGTTTTTTTTTTTTTGGTATATATTTTAGATGGGTTGGCTCTTCACTTATTACTTCTTTTTGTTAAAAAAAAGATTCTATTTATTTATCTTTAGAGGGGGAGGGAAGGGGGGAGGGAGAGAAATATCAATATATGGTTGCCTCTCATGTGTCCCCTGCTGGGAACTGGCCTGCAACCCAGGCATGTGACCTGACTGGGAATCGAACTGCCATCCTTTGGTTCACAGGTGATGCAAAATCCACTGAGCTATACAAGCCAGGGCGCTTATTACTTATTCTTGAATGGTGTTCTTAACTGAACACCTGTTTTCAGCTAGCTCTGGACAAGGAAGTCTCTTTCTGATAAGTTAGTTTTAGGTGAGTTTGATAGAGGTAGCTGTTTTTAGGAGAGTTTTGGGTGGTGCTGCTGTTCCAGTTTGTGGTAGCTCCTTGCTGAATAGCTTCTTTGGACAGGAGAGTACTTTGCAGATCATCTTTTCTGACGAATTTGTGTAGAGGCAGGTTCTAGCTGAGCAGTTGCTTTTGGGTGATCTTCGAACAAAGAAACCTTTTTTTTTGACAAGCTGACTTTACCTGAGTTTATGTAGCACTAGATCTTGAACAAACCACTGTTTGGGGATGAGTTTGGGATGAGGCAGTTCTTTGTTGATTAGTTGGTCCTTGATAAATTTGTGTCAAGCCAAATTTTGGCTGAACAATTATTTCCAGGTGAGTTTATGAGTGTTTGCTCCTCAGTGAGTTTTGAAAGAAATTAACTTGTTTTTTTTTATTCAGGTATAACTGATGTATAAGTTTAAGGTATATGACATATTGAGTTGATATGTATTACTGTTGTAATATTATTGTTGTAGTGTTACTACTATCACATCACAAAGTTACAAAGAATTTGAATTTAATCACACTTTTATTGAGATGAAGCTGCCTGAAAACAGGTGAATCAGGCTTTGTTCTTTAGTTCTAGCTTTTCTTTGCTGAGTATCACAGGATTGATTAGAAAGAATGATAAGCTTAAAAAAACCATCATTAAATTTTAGAAGAGAAATAAGTAGGTAAATTGATTATAGAGTTTTAATTTGGCCCTCAAAAGGAAGTATAGGCTAGCTCTCACTTGTCTATGTAGTTTAGATGTATGATTTTCTTGATCATAGTCCTCTGGTTAAGTACTCCAAACAAATTCCTAATTGCGTTTTTAAATCACCATGTGTCAAGGAGGTGCTGAAGCATGAATTGTTGACTTCTTGATCAACTGTCCAGGCTACATAGTTTATGTTAATTGGTGTGGGAACCTGTTGAAGCGGGGTGAGAGGAATTCTTGTCTTTTTGCATTTGGTCTTTTGTTTTAGTGGCTAGTTTTTCAGTGTGTCCCCACCCCCTTACCTAAGTCCAATTACATTCTAGTTTTAGCTAATTCATTATTGAAACACCTATCTATTAGGTATTTGCTACT